GAGTGATGCATTTTTTGTAAAATTCTGCTGCCTCAGTTTGCAGGTATTATCACATGACATCGGGAGTCTCCCACCATCCATTAAGGTACTGAGTCATAGGCAGTTCTTTAATCCACTCTAAGTCCTCCGTGGAATATAGTGGCATTTCTGGTAGGCTTCGGGGCCCCGGGTCAGGCAGGTTGGCTATCATCACAGTCTCTTTGCGTGGCTATTCCCCGAGCGGTTCTATCAGCCAGATTGTTCCCTCTAGACACCATGTCCTTAGGTTTCTGATGTCCTGGACAGTGGACAATGGCCAATTTCTTAGGTAACCATAGGGTGGTAATGAGGGCCAATATCTCTTCTTTATTTTTTATAGTCTTTCCCTCGGCTGTCAGTAGCCCTCTTTCCTTATAGATGGCGCCATGTATGTGGGCCATGGCAAAAGCACACTGGCTGTCAATGTAAACAGTCAGCTTTTTGTCTTTTCCCAGCATTAGTGCTGGGGTCAAGGCTATCAGTTCAGCTCTCTGGGCTGATGTTCCCATTGGGAGGGGCTGAGCCCATACCACTTCAGTCTCTGTTACCACTGCCACGCCCCGCATACCTCTGACCTCGCTGCTCCCATCTGTAAACCAGATAAGCGGGCAATGGCTGGTCCTTGAGGTCTTCTCTGATGCCATGGACCTGCGCTAGGATCTGTGCAGTCATGCAAGGGAGCCTCCAAGTCAGGGTTGGGTAGCAGGGTGGCGGGATTGAGAACTGAGATTACTTAGGTCTTTCAGTTTAGGCTGGTCTCAAAAACTCCTGAGCTCAAATAATCCTTCCTCCTCAGCCTCCTGAGTGCTAGGATTACAGATACGTGCCACTGTGGGGCTACATCATACAAATTTTCACCCAAGTGGCAAGTATGACCTTGGGTATGTTATTCAGATAAGCACTTAAAAAAAGAAATAGAACTATTATTCTTTATTACATTCATTTAAATACATGATTGCCTTCCCCTAATTTACCTCTGGTCTAYGACTCATGATAGTCAAGAATTCTCTCATTTAATCATCCCTTTAATGAATGACCCCTTGGCTTCTAGGCAGCACTAAGTATAGGTTTGAATGAATGGAATCAATCATTATCAATGAAAGCCAGAACCTTTTAACCAGATTAGGCCTAATGCTTTCCCTATTTTTACTTCAAAGATGTTTTATCTGATATAGAATTAAACTTAAGGTAAAATAGGCTGTAAAGCTTGTTAAATTATCTAAGGCATGAGAGAGTTAAAAAAACGACAACTAGTTATTTGTGAAATTTTAGAACTGGGATTGGCAGCTCTTTGGGTAGGATGCCCAGTGTCCTATGGAATAATTTCACTGGTAAGGATTTCGAGTGAAGAGAAATGGTGTTTTGCCCAGTATACTGCTCGGCTTGCCCAGTTGCCTCTGTGGACCCAAGGGTGGAGAAGGGGATCAACTTTGAAGTATAACTGCAAACAGAAATTTTAAAACAAAACATCAGGACTTGATTCTTATCTTCATAATTTCATTTAGATATCCTAACACACTATTCTAACAGGAAGAGTGGAATTTTGACCCACTGTATTAAAGATAAGGGGAACGGTTATGTTTGAACAATGCCGTTTTAAATTGTGCAGCTGATTTCCTATTTGCTGAGACATGCTTCTGTGTCACTGAAGCAAAAAGCATGGCCTTTGGTTAGGACTAAGGAGATGGAAGTACAGACTTCTGAGCCCTGTTGTCAGGTGAAGCACCCACCTCTGAGCATCACTGGGTTTCTCATGGGTTATTTCTACCAGTTGGTATGAAATTTTTGGAAATATGCTTTGCGATGTTTAAGATGAGCACAGCAACACGATCTATGAAGCTATTCAGTGCTGCATGTCTTTTAAGTCTGCATCAGTCTTCTCTTAGACCCAACAGATCTCAAGGGCAAAAGCCAAACTTGTCTTGTCTTACTTTCTGCAGCACCAAGCAGTCTATCAAACCACTATGGAATCAATGAGTTTCTGATGTTTTAGTGATAGTTTGAATCTTTTCACAATTCCACGATTAGGTCAGCTGATCAAGGAGTGGAGTTTAATAAATTAGGTTAAATATTAAACATGGAATTTATAGTTGTCATACTTCTGTCCTAAATTTGAAAGAATGGCTTTAGCGGGAAAACTGCTTCATTTTCAACATGAAAACACCTCAAAACTATTATAATTTCATAATCTTGCTGAATGACAGATGGGAAAAAAACCTCTGCCCTAATGTAAAATCTCAGCAGGAAGAACTCAAGGGTAACTCTGGCTGACAGTCTAATCCAATTGTGAAAGGCTGGCAGAGAACTAATCCTCAGATATAGTGTTTTCTACTCAAATAATGTAACCAGTTTTTCTTGTACTGGTGAATATTTAACTTTAAATATATTATCCTGCTTGGGGATTTAATAAAATTCTAGGGTTTTTTTTTCACATATTAAAGACCATTAGAATTGACCTGAGGACAGATTTACAGTATAAACAACAGGTTCATAAAATAGAGAAAAGTTATATACTGATTTGTAATGGAAACCTTCATAAGAATAACTTGACGCTTCCTATTAAAATTTCCTTGAAACTAGTTGAAGGAACTAGACTACATCAGAGTATAACACATGTTGCTTTAGGCAATTACTCAGAGAGAGCACTGAATTTAATTAGCTAATCTAACCACAGAGAATTGAATTTTATCAATGTAGCTAATGTAAGTATAGAGAACTGACTTTATCAATATAGAGTCTAACCAATTTTAAGTTTAAAACCTGACCCTAACTCTCCCCCAACACTGCATTTTTAGCTATGTACAGATATGTTTCATCAATGAAGTTAATGGAAGTTTTACTATTCTGAAACTTTCTTCCTCTTTGGAATGCTCTTCTTGTCAGGCAAAAATGTTTGGGGGCATACTGTTTACTCAACAAAACTAACTGGTAATGTTCACCAGTTAAAGAGTAACACAACCTGAATAAGTTATTGGAAGGCAGTTTTTTCTTTTGTTCAGAACTAATAGTTTTTCCCCACATTGTTAGCATGGTGGATTTTGAAGGGCAGATCATAAAAGAATGAATTTAATGGCACTTTCAAAGAGACTACCCAATAGCAAGTATTGTGTTGTATTTTCTTTTTCATCTAGACCTTCAGGGCTGGTTGTCAACCCATATTGAAGAAAAGGTAAACAGAAGTGTTGATTTTCCAAAGCAAGAGAAGAAAGGCTTTTTCTTTGTTTTATATCATTTATTAATGCAGTATACATTAGATCCCAAGCCTGCAGTTTCTGAAAACACCATGTTTAGATCTTTCAGAACCTTCTGCAGTTTTAGGTTTGTCTACAGAGGTACCCTTAAGTGAATGAACAACACATTCTATAATTATTGAAAATATAGTATAGAGTGAAATGATTTAAATATTATTTAGGCACATATTGATTATGAAAATAGAATCTCTCAATACAATACTTATCTGTCTTGGTAAAAATAATAAAGCAAAGAAAATAATTCATTTCTAAAGTTGCTTTCCTTCACCTGTAAAGGTCTGAT